CCTGCCCCTTATGGCACCGCGAGAGTCCCCCTGCCCCTTATGGCACCGCGAGAGTCACTTAGCTCTTGCCACACCAGCCCCCTAACCTGTTTCACTGACGGTGTCGGAGTTGTCATGTTGGTTGTATTTTGTTTGAGCTGTATCTCTTTCCTTTCCTGTAGCTCCAGATTAACCACTCACTAGAAGTAACGTCCTTGGGAGCAGATGAACGTACGGAAATGGAGACAGTCTTGTCTGTGTGTCCATCTCTTTCCCAGAGGCCTGGAGTGCGCAGCCTCAGGGGCTATAGGAGAGAGTCCTTGGGAACTTTTCAGTCACTGAGCACATTGTCTCAGAAGGAGAACAGAAAGTGTGGGTTCTAAGCACAGCTTGTGTGACTTCGAGCCTGTTATACCGGCCTGTTGATCAGGCAGAACTTTACAGAGCACATTTGGGGTATGATACGGGGAGAGCAACAGAGGATCTGTGGGATCTAGCAAGGTGACTGCCTACCCAGGGCTGCTTCACCTGTACTTCTGGTGTATGCGAGGTTGTGTGGTGGCAGCGGGAAGAGCTCCCAGGGCCTCAGCTCTGTTCTCTGTAAGATAGAGTGTATTTTAGAAATCCAGTTTACTCACCTCAAAGGCTGTATCAAATGTGATCATGGGTACGGAAAATGCTTTGTAAGCTATAAATGATGGCTATTTGTCATTCTATTGGTTATTCACCTTTACTTAATCCACAATTTTTTGAAAACTTACTATATATCTCATACTCTGGTGGGTATCAGGGAGATAAAAATGATCCCTTTTGTTGAAGGGCTTTGAATTTCCCTGAGGAAGGTCACACCCACAAATGCCAGCAGTGGGCTACGTCGAAGGCACAGAACAGACAGTATGCACACCGGCTCTGGAAAGAGGACTCTTCTGAGAGCTGGTGTATTTGGGGGAGGCTTCATGGATTAGAACTTTGAAAGATGGAAAGCTCTGGGTAATTGCACACAAGGGAGATTGGCGGCTAGGCAGAGGCCATTTGTTGGAAGTTGTGTTTGTATTAGGTGTTTGAGATAGAAGAGAGAGTTCTCTGTTCCTGTTAATTACCATCGTGAAGAGAAGATAGAATTTGATTTCTGAAAGTATATGGTAGCTGTCTTAGAAAACAGATGTCCGAGGAGTTAAGGGATGTGTCTGCATGGGGTTAGGATGAGATCTAAATCAAGCCATAGTTAGGTGTAATTGGGGAAAAATAAGAAATATCTCTGGACAATAGAACAGATGAATGTGTCACACTGTAGGCTGCCCTCAAACTAAATAATATAATTTCACATGCAAAGTATATACAGAGGGGTCGAATACTTTCCTGCCTGATATTCACCGCTTAAAAACCTGAAATGCTCCAGTACGACAGTGGCCAGACAAATGTACCATTTGAGAATGTTCTATAAACCTTCTCAACCTCAGGGTGTAAAGCAAAGTCAGTTGTCTTTGCCTCATATATGACATGACTACTGATTTGGCTTGGGTCAGAAAGCAATTCCTGAATCTCCCTGGGGAAGGGACCAAAAGGCCCTTGACATCCAATCACCAGGAGCCTTCAGCTGAGCTCTGCAGGGAGGGCTGCCTGCCGCGGGTGTGCTGGGAAAATAATTGAAAGTGTCCATGGGGAATTAAAAAACAGATGGTTCAGAAACTACTTTGGGGCTTGCAAAAGGACTTCAGCCCTAGTATAGGAATGGGGATGGCGAAAGAAACCTGTGTCAGGGGCAACTGGACGTAAACTCCTGCTGTGTTTGTCATTGGTAAACATTACTTCACTCGGTGGAAACATCACATCGATAACGGTGTTATCCATCACCTTATACTGTGCATTTGAGAGTCGAGATGTTTTCTTGCTGATAGCTCATGCTGTAGGAAACAGTATTCCTGGCTTCCATCTTGTGAGAAGGAGTAGGAGGAACAGATGGAACGAGAATGCTTCTCTTTTCCCTCCGTTCCTTTGCAACAGGCTGCTGAATAACAGCTGGAAGGAGTAAATGGGTTCATTCGTGGCAAGATAGACATTCTGTTTAATATTTTGTTTTGGTTAATTTTTGGGGGGGGGGGGTCAGAAAAAAAGATCTCTGTAGAAAAGCCAGTGCAGGTACCTATGAGTAAACTGGGTTTTTCTGATCCATACCACGTCTGAGTCGGGAAGTGCAGTGAGTGATAGCTAGCCTCTTTGTGACGGGTTTACATCCGAGGAGTGTAGCTTTTCCTTTCGGTGATTTTTAAGCCACTGATTTCATAGTAAAGCAAGACAAATTTTAAAGTGGCCAGACTACGTCGCAAGTCCTTTTGATATGCAGGTAAATCTTGTGACACATGACGCATGCTTTGTCAAGGGCATGAAGAACGGGAGACGAATCGCTGCAAAAGTGAATGAAAGAGCTCTTCTTGGGAAAGAAAGGGAAAGGTCTCTTCTCGATCTAAAGCTGCTCTGATTCAGGACAGGAACTCGTGGAAAACCCGAGAGTAGCAGGTGTATTTCAACCCTGCAAGGCCCAAATGCATTATGCCACATATGAATTGATCTCAGGCTGTCATTCCCTCCTATATCGTAGCTATATTTTGTATGTATTTTTTCATTTCCTGGGGTGATTTGATGCTGTGACTGAGTACTGACTGAGTTACTATCTTTTAAAGAAATCTTTAGAATTCCTTATCATCAGTGAAATGCAGTTGTGAATTTATTATTGGGTCCCCTGGATGACCCTTTGACTTTGAGGATATACTTTTTTTCAAATTAAGCATTGGTTTGCGTTTTACTTAACCGGACAGATTTTGCTCAAAGGCTGAGGCTCTGTTTAGACTTGTATTCCCTGCAATGCCTATTTGTAGTATGCTGTACACAGTAAATGCTTACTAAACACTTGCTTATTTGCTTTGCCATGATGGGCATCAATAATTATTCCCCGGTCTCTGATTCCCCCCCCCCCCGACCCTGACATTAGAAAAGATATTTAAAAATAAAGTAAGGACTATGTATTATCATTAAAGTATTAAGATTATTTATAACAATAGATCTTTTGTTTTATTATTCCACTGAGCATTAGCCTCTATTGTCCTTCTTGGTAAAATGTTATTTACCTGGAACTAAAAGCCTTGGGTTTTATCTTAGCCAAAGAATGTGTGTTTAGCCGAGAATGTAATTAGGGGAAATACTTAAGGGATTGTCAATGCAGTGTTCTTTTAGCTCTTAAGCAATCCATATCCTGCTAAAATGTTTGTCTTTTTTTTCTTTCTTTCTTTTTTTTTTCCTCCTTCTGGCTGCCGTTCCAGGTCCCTTATTTCCCGCGAGTCTTTGGCGTCCACGACTTTGAGTCTCACAGAGAGTCAGTCAGCCTTGAGCGTGAAACAAGAGTGGTCTCATGGCTACAGGGCTCTCCCGTCACTCTCCTCCAGCCACAGCTCCCAGAACGGCACTGATCTAGGGGACCTCCTTAGCCTTCCTCCCGGGACAGCCGTGTCCGGCAATAGCGTCTCTAACTCACTGCCGTCCTACCTTTTCAGCATGGAGAACAGCCACTCCCCTTACCCCAGTCCCCGGCACTCATCGGCCAGGCCCCACTCGGCCCGCTCCAAGAAGAGAGCGCTGTCCTTGTCTCCGCTGTCTGACGGCATTGGGATAGACTTCAATACCATCATCCGCACCTCGCCCACCTCACTGGTCGCCTACATCAACGGGTCGAGGGCCTCCCCGGCCACCATGTCCCCGCAGCCTGAGGTCTACGGGCATTTCCTGGGGGTGCGTGGCAGCTGCATTCCCCAGCCGTGCTCGGTGCCGAGCAGCCAGAAGGGCGTGCGGGTGGCCAACGGTGGCCTGGTGCTCCCGGCCTATGGCGAGGGCGGCGTGCTGGAGTGTGAGCGCATGCAGCAGCTGGAGCACGGAGGCCTCCAGCCAGGGCTGGTCCACAACATGGTGGTACAGCATGGTCTGCCCAACCACGACGGCCAGCCAGGCGGCCTGCTGAAGACGGAGCGCCTCGATGATTTCCCGGGTGGTGCCCTGGACCTGCCCCCTGCGCCCCCTCTGCCCCCTCTGCCACCACCCCCGCAGGGCCCCCCACCCCCCTACCACTCCCACCCCCATCTGCACCACCAGGAGCTAGTGGCCCGGGCCCAGCCGCTGGCCCTTCCCCAGGAGGCCCTGGAGGAGGACGGGGAGATGGAGGACGTTGGGGGCAAACACTGCTGTCGCTGGATCGACTGCAGCGCCCTGTATGACCAGCAGGAGGAACTTGTGCGGCACATCGAGAAGGTTCACATAGACCAGCGCAAAGGGGAAGACTTCACTTGCTTCTGGGCCGGCTGTCCTCGAAGGTACAAGCCATTCAACGCCCGGTATAAACTGCTCATCCACATGCGAGTCCACTCCGGGGAGAAGCCCAACAAGTGCACGGTGAGTCTCCCGCTAAGGTTCTCAGGGTTTCGTCCAAGGTGTGTGGCGTTCCTCCGGACTTGGCCACAAATCAGGACATTTTCTTCTTTTATGGGATTCGGATCCATGGGGGTCTAGGTATCCATGAAATTTGACTTCTCTTTAGCCTGAGGACAGGAAAGATTTCTTTAATTATTGGCAGCAGGGGTCCTGCTCCACTTCTGGATTCTCTTCTGCAAATGTACGTGACCCATACCATCAGGGGAGGTTGATCTGCCACACTGTCCAGAATCTTGGAAAATCCATGCCTGCCAGGTACCAACTTGAAGTTGCTGAAATGCGCAGGGCAGGGAAACAAATGCTGCACTCCCAGCAAGAGCTAGCTTTTTTCCAAAGCAAATATTCAGGGATTTTTCCTTCCCTCCAATAACTGGGCGAGTATTGGGGTTGGAGGAGGGGCTGTTCTGATATTTGGAAAGGAACGCACACTTAGCAACTTGGCTAATAAAAATGTTGCTGCATACACCCACACGCCTGTATACCGCACACTCTGGGGTTGTGAGCCTAGTAATGATTTATAGCCAGCATAAAACACCCAGGGGATACCGCAGGAGCAGGGTCTCACAGGATCTCACGGAATTTTAAGGAGAGAAGATTTTGTGGAAAAGTATAAGGAGAATGAACCAAGAGGGGACTGTGCCTTGGGTGTTGAAGGAAGTGACCCTGGTGTCTCTTTCTCCCCTGCCTCCCCTTTTCACAACATCGATCCTGGAACTTGTCTCTGTTTCTTGGCAAAATTTGCTATTTTTGAATAATAGGACTCTTAAATGATTTTGCAATCATTTCACACCTAACAGAAACCCTCAGGGTTTACAAGCAGGACATCACCCTTGGGATCACAGGGCAGCTTTGCACAATCTCCGACAGCTCGCTTAACTCTGGGAAGAAGAAGAGCATGTGTTTTATATTACTTTAGATGGACAGGGATATTTCTTTCAGAGTTAAAATCTGAGAATTGTAGGTACTCCCTGGATATTGAATATGCTACAGATCACTGAATGTGTGAAACATATAAATCATTTTGAAAAGGGACTTATTCAGACGGTGGTCCCCCAGCCAGAGTCCTTTCTTACTCTAGTATGTCTTGATGATAAAGAATCTGGACTGTGTTTATGTTTGATTGTAGATTGGCCAAGTTGTCTGATTTATGTAAAAGCAGACCGAATAGGTTGGTAGCTGTAATGCAGGTATTGGAAACACTTTTTCACTATCCAGTAGGTATCTCTGAAAGAGTTTTCAGAATTTCTGGTGGAATGAAATTGCATTTCTTGCTGTTACCTTGTGCCCCATGTTGTGATTTTTCTTAAGGCAAACCAAAAGCTGATACATTGTGAGGATGCCATGTTATATGACTGAAGAGAATAATTACATTTCAGGTGGCAAAACCTTCCTCTGTCAGTAGGGTTCTGCATTAAAAATGCCAGAAAGAGACAAGCAATTGAAGGCAATTCCATTTATTCTGTTTGGAACACACTGGCCTATTGCAGGCAGGAAAGACGTTCAGTCTCTGAGGGAAAACAGTCCAACCTCTTAGTTCTGACTAATCCTGGCTGAAAATAGTTTGCTGGATTTGGCTTTACTGAAATAAACATAAAGGCCTGAATTATCCAAAACATATTTTTTGCATTGCAAAATTAATTTTTGTGCAATAGGATTTCCCCATTTTCCCACTCTTCCCAGACTTTGCAATGGCATATAACTTTGTAAAGTTGACTTTTGCTAAAGTGCAGGATGACTATTAAAAATAGAAATATTTCAGTGAAAGAATAAGCTGAGAGGTGAATATTTGCAGGCCTCTGCTTGGCTTTTCATTGTATTATTCAGGATGGGTATGGGAGGTGGTTTCTTTCCTAGTTTGTCTCCTTCCCACTTCTCGATGGAATCTGTAAAATTCAGATTGCTGGATATAACAGCATGTCAAATCCAGACCCACAAAGCGTTAAATGGTACGTGTTGTAGTGCAAATATGTTTATAAAAAACAGGGTTTCTTAGGAGCTGACTAATGCTGCAGTTCTACTCTTGGGACTGTATGTTTTTTGCAGGAAGATACCCATTTTCATATAAAACCTACATAGTGGGAGCGTTATGTCTTTTAAAACTGTTCTGTTGCCACATGGCATCTGCTTGATTTGTAGGGTTAGAGCTAAGTGGTGGCACATAATTTTGCTGTGGAAGTTTAGCATTCCTCCCAAGTTGTAGTCTGTGGAGAGAAGACATTGTACTTGACGTGGGTGCACATCTGAAAAGACATTTTCTGCTTTTTGCAAAACCAATCTTTACACTCTTGGAATCCAAACACAAAGAATTGTTAAAACTGAAATATTTCATCTCCCGCTGCTTTGAAATCTGATGGTAGTTGATTCAAAGCTCAAGATCTTTGCCAAGTGAAATGACCACATTCATCTTTTGGAGACATGAAGTGATCTTTGGGTTTTTGTGGCTATGTCACATGCTGCAGAGGCTCGGGGCAGTTTAAATTATAGAACCCCGTCCACTTTTGTTCCACATATGTTTCACTGCTATTAATTTTCTGTGATGCATCGTTAGAGTTAGCCACCATTTTCACTCACTTAGCTTATTGACCCAAGAAACATGTGATGACCCAATTGTGTTTGGGGACCATGACTACAGGCAGCACAATGTGCTTCTGGAAGTCGTGGTGGAAGAAGGATGTGTGAAAGGGCCGCTTAGCGACAGCCGACTTACAGTAAAAGATTAGCGCCGGTGTCCTCCCTCAGCGCCCCATTCCGCCTCCTGCAGGGAAAGCGCCTTCTCACAATCTGCGCCTCTACCTCACCCAGCCTCACCCGCTGGGATTCGGATCTCTCAGGATTCTAGGTGTCAGAACTGGGGGAGGATTGCTAATTCATTATTTGGTTAACTTACGGGAAGAAGAGAATGGTTTCTTTTCTCTTTCCCACCCAAACAACTCCACCCTTCTGTACATCTCATTCTTATTCTTCTGCGGAGAGCCAAACCAACTGCTCTCTTTCCAGGCCTGGCCCCGATGACAGAGATATTCCCAGCCAGTGGCAAGAGCCTGGAGAAGTAAAGGCCTCGGCAGGCAGATAGATGGACCTCAGTGAAATCAGAAACCGGGATACGGCGGTATTCCGTTAAAAATACCCGAGTCCACTCACTGCTGTCTACTAACTAAAGCAATTTCGAGATGCCGAATCATTCTATTTAGACCTTCCTGAGCTTAGACCCAACCCCAACACTGATGAATCTCAGAATTAACCAAAACTTTTGGGTGTAACTATGCTGAATTCTCCAACGTTTTTCTGAGGTGATAAGGGTTCAAATACTCAAGTCAGAGCAAGTCACGGAGCCTTGGATTTTGTTTCTCAGACTCCCGTTTCACCGTCCTAAAAGGACAGCATAAAGTGGAATCCCAAATTATTGCTGTACACTAACCATCCTTAGTAGTATCCATAGTAATGGTTCCAATAGAGTGCACACAGAGAATGTTTTTACCGTAGGTCTCTTTTGCCATCAAGTTGAAGAGTGTGTAACGCCTGGGTAGCCTTCCCAGAAGGTGTGTTCTGAATGAGATCAGGCGCACTGTGTCTGCCAGTACTTCTCATGAGAAAGCCTATCTGATGGGAGCAGAGTGAGCAGAGGGAGAGGGTTCCGTTGCCAGCATCAGAAACATGCACAATAGAAAGCAGTTTTGTTGGGAGGCTAGGGGGTGTTAATAAGGGAATTAGGGGGAATGCGGGTCGCCACTTATATTTTGCTTATTTTTCCTGGATGAATTTTATCCAATAGCAAATAGGAATTTTGCAAGGCTTTTACCCACCCACAGATTTTCACGAAAATGTCACTGACCAAAGACAGCTTTGGATTTTGTATGAATTGACTCATTTCTCCACAGGCATTTTGCCTGGCAAAATCCAGAGTATTTGCTTTGGCTAGAAGATTGGGCAGTTTGCTTTTTAAGTAACATTGGATTATGGAATACAAAAAAATAAATCAGAGCTGGGGCCATGTCCCCGTTCCTCTTTTATGGCCTGATTTATGGGTTCATGGGCCAGCGTTAGCCATGTAAGACATTTCTTGAGGAAAAGTAAATTCATTGTAAACTGTGGAAGAAGTTTTTTTTAAATCACATCCTTTATTTTGTTATTTTGATAAGACTTGCCATTGATGGGGTGACCACAATTATATGACCAGAAGAGACCTTAGGAAAATATTATCTAAGTATAACTGTTAGTTACCACTTCACAACCTTCAAACTGGCAACAATTAATAAATTCTCATAATGTCAAGTATTGGTGAAGATATAGAGAATGAGGAATGGTTTAACACTGCTGGTGAGAGGTAAATTGGTGTAACCACTTTGGAAAAAAATTTGGAAATATCTAGTAAAGATGAAAATGAGCATATCCAACAAAACCATGTCTACGTGTCTGCGCTAGGGAAACTCTTGTATATAGTAGCAGGGCCACATGCAAAAAGATGTTTATTGTACCTCTGTTTCTAAAAAGTAAATAATCTAACTGTCCATAGATGAGGTAAATTGATAAACTGTGGTTTATTCTTAATGAAATAATATAAAGGAGTTTAAAATTAATGAACTAGGTATAAATCTCTATATCTCTAGATGGATGGATGGATAGATCTATAGATATCAATGTGGCTACATCTCAAAAAACAATGTTGAATGAAAAAATTAAATGCAAGAAGGATATATTACAGTGTAATACAATTTATATGCCTTTAGACACTCACACACTAAGCAGTACCATATAGTTGTGGCAGATACATAATTACTGTGGGCAGGATAATCAATAACCTTTGAATAGTAGGTTCTTCTAGAGAGGAAAGAAGTAAGAAGAAATGGGATGGGTATTTTACCTTTTTTCCAGGAGTGAGAAAATTGAAATAAATACAGCAAAATATTAATTTCTTTTTAGCTTGGTGGTAGTAATAGAGGTGTCATAGGTATCTTAAAATA